AATATTTTAAACAGAAGTATAAATCGTAAGCCAAAAGTGGACATAAAGCATAATCATATAACAATCCAGAAGGAGGCAGAAAAAGAGAGAGGGAAAATGAAAAGTAGAAATTCAATGAATAACAAATAGCTACAGGATGTTAGGTTATAACCCAGACATGTCACGGCTTACACTAAATGTAACTGGTCCTGTGTTAACCGAGTTTTCTACTCTCTGTGAGAGCTGTTTTCCCATCTGGCGCCTTGCTGACTAGGGAGGGACTGCCCCTCCCAGGAGAGTGGATTCGCAGAGCTAGCAAGCACTCTCCCTCAAGCAGGCCTTTCATAGGGGAACTAGCCATCCCCACCCCAACCTCCTCTGCTGGTGAGACTTTATTTAACCTCCTGTCTTCACCACCCAGAGCCAGGCATCAGACAACCTGGGGCAGCCCCTACACCCTGAGCCCACGGAAATTATTCAAACGCCAATCCTAAACCTGGTCACCCCTTTGGCCTGCCTTGCCCATGCCTTCCCTGGAAAACCATAATACACTCGTTCCCACAATGCCCCTCACTCTCTCCACCTCTGACTGACCCTCCTGTGGCCCCGCATGATGGGAAAGGCCCCCTCCTCTGGGGAACTGCGAGTAATGAGCTCTCTTTTCACTGGTCTCCTCATCTGTTGGCTTCACCACATCTTTGTACTTTGTACAAGGGAATATATAAAAAATTTTACGCAAGTTAAAAACAAACACACAGCCACAAACTCCCACACAACCAAACTGACAAAAACACACCCACGCTGACACACACACCTTTACATTCCCATGTAAGCCTGCTTGCCCACACTCATAAAACCCCCTACACACATGCACACCCAGCCATACATCCCACATACACACCCTTGACTTACACACCCACACACATACACTTTATACACTTTACACACAGTCACACAATCCCCATCCTACCACGCCAGCTGGTTTTAGTGGCCAGATGGCAGAGGGCTAGTGGAGAGGGGCGTCTGGACCACGGCCACTTTTGTACTCTCGGGAAGTCTGGTCTGTGTGGATGTGCTGCATCTTATTTACCTCATCCTCCTCTGATGGAGATTCCATGTGTCTCTCTTGGTCCCTGCTCAGACACATAACCCTCAGCCCTGTGTCCTGTGAGTGACCCACACTAACTAGTGTCTCCTTTGAGTCCCTCATCCTCCCTGATTCAGAGTCAGCCCCTCTTGGGGTCCTTTACCTGCCTTATCCAACCAAAACATTAGACCAATCCCTTAAAGTAGGCTCTGTTGTTCCCAATTTACAGATAGGAAGACTGAGGCCCAGAAAGGTCAAGTCACATGCCCAGGGACACACAGACAGAAGAGCAATGGCTCTCAGACTTCCAGACTCCTCAGATTTCCCTTTGCCCCCTTGAGGCTGACCAGGAGTGTTCTGTCCCCTCTGGGGGTCCCCAAACTAACTCTTGAGACCGATGAGGAGGAGGTCGAGGGCAGAGTCCACAAGGACCTTGCCTGATAAACCCGGTCTCCTCCTGTTACAGCAGGGTATTGGGGTCAGGAAAAGCCAGTCCTCGTCCACACTCATTGCCTCCCCTCTTCCATACCTCTTGCTCTCTCCTCCACTCGCTGTGATTGGCTTCTGTGTCCCTAACCCACTGAGGCTGCCCCCACTGACCTCAGTGGCCTTCACATCTGCACAGACAGTGGGAAACCCTTAGGAGTCATCTCCCTGGGACATTTGGCCTCCTGTGTACTCTGACCACTTTTATAATTCCTCAATGTCCCTGGATTACAGGACTGCCCCACACCCACCTACCCCCCACCAGTACCCTGGAGACCTCTGGCTTTTCTCTGCTTGTCTCCAGCCCAGGCCTGACACCTACACCCATCTGGGATGGGTTGGACGGGCTCTGCAGAGCTCCCGCCTCAGTCCGCTGCTGTCATAGTCTGGGTTCTCTAGAAGCAGAGCCTGAGGTGGGAATTTAGAGGCATATGATTGATTGAGGGGTGTTCTCAGGAAGAGGGGCTGAGGGAAGCAGGATGGGACAGAGGAAGGAGCTGAGCAAGGATGCGGTCCACCCTGAGACCAGCTTCAGCCTGACCCCACCGAAGCCCTGCAACCGGAGCTGCACCCTCCTTTAGTCCTGACCTGAGGCGGGGCCTGGGCTTGACATCCCCTCCTCAGTCAGTCCCTCTCCACAGGCGGCAGGCACAGGGAACCTAACCCCCCAGGCATCTCCTGGGGAGGCTGTGAGGGGGGCAGCTGTGAGCCATTAGCAGAGACATGACATTCCACACCCAAACAGCTGGGGGATGGAAGCAGCAGCCCAGGGAGGGGGATCTGGGCAGGGCACTAACAGCGTCTACTAAGTGGTCCTTCTCCCCAGGGCCCCGCCCAGGGACCAACATCCCTCTAGCACCTCAGAACCAATGTGTTCAAAACCGAACTTGCCATCTCCCCCCACACTCATCTCGTACCTGCACCAGGATCCTGAAGAGCCCTTGATCATTCTCTCAGGAAGTGCCACCATTCTGTAGCTCCTCAGGGAACCAACCTGCCTCATCCTCTCTGTGATGACTCCATCCCAGTCAGCCCCACACTCTGTCAGCCTCTGGGCCAACGCTCCTTCCACTCTCTCTTCCCTCCTCTGCTCTGGGCCACTGCCCTGGGGGGACATGTCCTTGCTGGTCTCCCTCACCATTCACCCCGCATAAACACACACAACCACAAACACACAGACACGGACACTGAAGCCAGGGTGGTCTGGCTAAGATGGACATGCGATCCGATCTCCTCCTGCTAAAACCATCACTTAGCCTTACTGCTCTTCAGGACCTGGCCTATCTCTGCACTCAACCCTGACCCTACCCCCTGCATGCCTGCCTTGAGCACTGAACAGAGTGTCACTCGTCACTCCTACCATGCCTGCCACTGTGCCTTTTTCTAAGCTGTCTTCTCCCTGGAACACCCTCCTTTCCCCTATGCTGGACTGGGGTCCTCTCTGTTGCATTCCCATAACACTGTGGATGTCACTCATCCATGGAACTCACCATCCAGATCTTTACTGCTAAGGAGTATTGACAAGCCAAGGGTCCCAGGGCCTGATGCTCCAATGTCATTCACGAAAGGGTCGAATATTTGTTCTTTCATGGGTAAGAAGTTTTCATAGTTCAGCAGCAGGCACTCTTGCCAGCCAATCACTTTAGAGGGCACTGACAAGGCCCACAGACCTCCCTGCCATGGGCCAATGAGACTTCCTGATCAAGGGTTGAGATGGAAAAAACGACAGCATCCATTCCTTTCTGGCATCAGTGGCCATGTACGCATGTTGACAGCCTGGTATGTGGCAAGCGACATCGGCCCAACATCCATGTAGAATATCAAAGGACCAGGCAGGGCTGGGGGAATAGGAGGGTTGCCATGGTAGCAGGATGGGCAATCTTGGGAGGAAATTGGAAACAGATGTGATCAGCACAGGCCTACATCAGCCTGATGAATGATCCCTCTCAGTTTGGGCAGAGATGTGCCAGCTTAGGGGCTGATTTGTAGGGTTTGCCATTTTCCATGGTGTAGATACACCTATCTCGGCCGATTTCAAAATACCAATAGTTTAACTACCAGCTCAAGAAGATCCTGAAAACTTAACATTGGCTCTGGGAAGCCAGTACTCTCTGGCACTGACACAGCACAGCCCCCTGGGTTTGTGATGACATAGAGTGAGAAGCATCTTAGGTTCCTCTAACCTGAAATCAGTTGCACCTGCTTGCCAAGAAGAAGCGAGCATGACAGACAATAATGCAAATGGCATGTGAAATCCTGCCCTCTGTCCATCTCGGAGAGGAGCGTCTGTGTATTAGTTTAGGTTGACCCCGAAGCCGCCCCAAGGCAAGGATGCAAGTGAAAGCAGTTAATTTGGGAGGCGATTACGGAAAGCACCAGCAGGAGCATAGAGAAGTGAGACAGGGCAGGAGCAGAGCTCAGAAGGGGACGTGTTCATGAACAGGTCATTGCTGTGGGCAACAGGGGCACAACCCAGTTGGGGCCCTCTGGGAGATGTGTAACAGATCTTGGAGTAGGTCCACCCAAGGCATGAGGAAGGGAAGGTATTTATCCACCAGCTCCCACCTATCGTTGGTCAAGGTTACTCCCTGGAGTACAACCTCCCCAGTACTTCCAGTCTGTCCCATAGCAAAGAGCCACAGGGGCTTCTAGTCAGCTACACCTGGTGAGCGGGCAGAACATGAACAGTGTCTGAGATGCCCAGTGCAGCAGAGATGTGACCAGTGTGTCACTCTACATGTCTCCCCTGCCAGAGCTCCTCACTCTGCTGACCAGGAGTCCTGTTTATAATGGTACAAAATTTTTGTAGCATTTGATTCCTAAACTTATATCTGCTACCCAGCGGAAGAAACAGTAATGCATCTCAATGCCAAAGGAAAATCCAGGAGTAGTGGGCTTTTCCAGAGTTCAGATTTTCAAGGGCAATTTGAACTTTACGTGCATTGTACCAGCAGGCTGAACTTAGAACCCAGTCCGCCATGAGACTGGCCGGCATGTGTGTGAGTGTTTAACAAAATGCCTGGCTGCACCCTTGACTGTCACCTCCCCATGAGCAGGACCAACTCCGCAGCATCCCCACTACCGCTGCACACACAGTGGATCTCAGGTCCCTCTGGGTGTTCAAGTGGAGGGCGGGAGGTGTGTGAAGGGCATGGAGAGGGACCCTGAGAATGGAGACGCTGTCCTAGACTCTTGGCCCTGCTGTCTCACCCCATTCCGCCCTGATGGAACAGCTGCCCCCACCCACCTCTGTGTTTTGTGCACACCCATTAACACACACACACACACACACACACACACACACGGGGCCTCCCAGAGTTAAGGCCTCAGTTGGTCATGGTAAGTGGGAGAAGGCAAGACAAGTGAAAATGAAGCCTGGAGGAAGCTGCTTTCACAAGAATTTATTTCTCAGAGTCGGGAAGCCTGAGCCAGGACCAAGCAGATCCTATTATGCTATAAGGAGCTGATGTCGAGGAAGACCAATGATAATTCCCAGGGTATGAATAAAATGGCCAGATCTCTTGACACGCTGGGGCTGTGAACCAGGAGGAAACAGGAATCTTGTGGGGGCTGGACCCAGACTCAAGACAAGACCTCTCCTCACTCAGACACCTCCCTTCCAGGGACACCACAGGAAACTTGGGGCCCAGTTCACCCTCTGGCTATGACCTTACGAGCATGTGGTTGAATCATTACACCCACAAACAGGTGAGGAAACTGAGGCCTGGAGATGGGAAGTGGCTTGCCAGGGTCACACAGCCCATCCAGCAAAGCTGGGACAGGAGCGTGGGCTGAAAGCTCATTACTCTACATCAGTGGCTCTCAACCTTCAGCAGGAGTCAGAATCCCTGGGGGCTTCCTAAAATACAAATTCTGGTGCCCCACTCCAGAGTCTGGTTCAGTAGGTCTGGTGGGACCTGATAATCTGCATTTCTGGCAAGCTCCGAGGTGAGGACTATATTTTGGGAACGACTATTCTAAGGTATTGCAGAGTCAGTCCTGAGACCTGGGGCTCAGGTTGAGGGAGGATCCCAGGGTACCAGGGGCTTTCTCTGCCCTGGATGGGACAGTGGTTAATTGGTCCATAGGAAGTTCCACACACCACCTCCCCATGTGTTGTTGCAACCCAGAATGGGCCACTCACCTCATCACAGCTGATGTCGAAGTACTCCTTGACTGGGTCCAGGATGACTGTCCCCACACACTGTTTAACCAGCTGTGGAGGGGAGACTCCAGGTCAAACTGGAACCCCCGTGCCATAACCTCCCAGCCTCACCTCAGTGGCTGGAAATGTTTCCCAGAGGCATCTTCTTCAGCAACTTGGGAGGCATCCACCAGCACCCCTAGCCCCAGCCTCCAAACTCACCCCATTCTCCTTGAAGGGACACAGCTCCAGTGGCTGCTGTGTCGACCTAGGGCACACAGTCTCTTTCACCGTGAAGCTCACAGGCATTGGGGTGTCTGGATTCTCGTCCTGGTCAGGGGAGAAAGTGGGTAGTTGAGCTCAGGCTCATACTTGCCTTCTCTGATCTGTCTCCCTGCCCTCCCTCACCAAAAGTGCAGCCCTTCCACAGCCCCTACTGTGTGTGTGGCACTGGGTTTGGTGCTGGGGACAGAGGGGAGGAGACAGGGCCCATTCCTGCCCTCAGCAAGCACACAGAGCAGGAGTGGACCTCAGACAAGCTCTGGTGAGGAGCACCTCCCCATCTGACGGGGCTGAGGGAAATCGGGGGCTTCCTGGAGGAAAAGACGGTGCCACTGGAACCTCAAGGCTGAGCAGAGCCCTTCCCTGTGAGGGAGACAACAGAGTGCAGAGGAGACATAAAAGAGACAAGTCACAACCCAAGCCAATGACCCCACTGTTGTCCCTTGAGCTCCCAGAGGTCCCTGGAGCCTGAATGGGGCTGTAGAGGGGACACCTCTTCCCACAGTGGAGATCTAAGGCAGGAAGCTCTTGAGCCGGCCCGGTGGCTTAGCGGTTAAGTGCACGTGCTCTGCTACTGGCGGTCCGGGTTCGGATCCCGGGCGCGCACCAGCGCGCCGCTTCTCCGGCCATGCCGAGGCCCCGTCCCACGTACAGCAACTAGAAGGAGGTGCAACTATGACATACAACTATCTACTGGGGCTTTGGGGAAAAAAAAGGAGGAGGATTGGCAGTAGATGTTAGCTCAGAGCCCGTCTTCCTCAGCAAAAAGAGGAGGATTAGCACGATGTTAGCTCAGGGCTGATCTTCCTCACAAAAAAAAAAAAAATTAAGGCAGGAAGCTCTCATGCTGAGAGGGGACACAGCTCTGGGAAGGTTTCCTGGGAGATGTGGGACCACACTTAAAGGGAGAAGTGCCTTCCTGACCGGAGGGACAGCATGAGCAAAGGGAGTGACAGTGTGGCCAGGCCTGACCAGAGCAGAGCCTCTCTCTCCACCGCCCGCCCCAGACTCACTCCCTTGGGCTGCGGGTCCAGCTCCAGGAGACGGTAGAGATTATCGTCTGAGGACCGCTGGTTGAGGCCATCCACAGCACGGAGCACGGCCTCCTCGTAGCTGAGGGCCTGAGCGGTGGCCGCAGGGATCACCAGGCCCAGCAGCAGTAGCCACAGTGAGCACTGCCCCAGGGAACAGCTGTCCCTCTGGGTCTCCATGGTCCCCAAGTCTGCCTCCTCACAGCCTGCAGGACCCTCCTTTTACCCAGCCTGGGGCTGATGCAAAGGCCCAACCAGGAGCCTTCCTGACCTGCCCCATCACTGGCCCCCTACAGGATGTGGCCTGGGTTTCCCTCAGCCCCTGCTCTTGCCTCATGGGGCTTGCTGGACAGTGGGCGAGGTCTACCTTAGTGCAAGTGAAGAAATGCTTTCTCCATCTCCCTGACAATGTCCTGGCCTTTCCTGGGCCCCACTGGGGAGTGTCATAGCCAGGGTTGCTTAAGAAGGTTGAGTCCTCCACGAGAGGAAGGGAGACAGGAGCCTATTCTACATGTTTTGCCATCCCCACCCCCGGGCCTTCTCAGGAATTAGGGTAATATAATGTATTCACCACTAAATCTCCACCTGTAGGCACTGCTTGGCACCCAGCAGGCACTCAGTTATGGTTTGATGAATGAATAACAGTAACCACTCATCATCTAGAGCCTTACCCACCCAGCCAGTCCCAAGTGAGACCTTCAAGGCCGCACCATCCTGTTCTCTGGACCCACTCCTCAGCTAGTTCAAGGTCTCGGCTCCACCTGTCCTCTCTCCTGGACTCTACTCCACTGAGTTTCTTAGTCTAAAAATGTCCCCAGCCACCACCAGACGTGGTTTGTTGGCCTGGTTCCTCCTCAACCCTGCCTGAGGAAGGTCATCTACACTCGTGGACCCACTTCTTCACTCTCTCTCACACTCAAGACCACCACAGGCTGGTCTTCCCTCCAGTGGCCACTCAAGCCTTGTCCTTATCTATGCAGGCTCTGGGGACTCTCTCCTCCTTAAACTGCCCCCTGCCCCATTCTCCCCTGATGCCACTCTCCTGCTTTCCCTCCTGCCTCCCTGGTGGCTCCTTCTTAGTCTCCTCCAAGGGCACTCCTCTTAATGAGGAGGGCTGCAGAGATGCATCCCAGGCTGCTTCTCTTCCCAGTCCTCGCGTCTCCCTGGGGACACCGGTGTTGTGATCGGAAATCATCTGGTCTGTGTCTGTGGGTTCAAGACCCCCATGAATCCCTGTGTTTCTCCCCTCTGGGCCCCCAGGCCTGATGTTTTGCTGGGTGCTGCTGCACGAGCCCTGAGCTGAAAGCCTGGGGAGCACCCGCCTGCTCCTACTTCCTCCTGGGGACACACCCTCTGACCTCCCCCACCACCCCTGCCCTGGGGTTCCACCACCGTCTTCTCTGGATTGCTGACACAGCCTCCAGACTCCACCTTTTCTAGGTTCCAGGCTCTCCTCAGACCACAGTCCACCCTCCACACCATTGTCCATGGGCTCCTTCAAACCGCCAATTTGGCCACTTCACCTTCTGCCTTCAGGAGCCCACACCATCCTGGCCTGGCCTCAGGGCCTGGATCTTGGTGCTCCCCATTTCCTCACCCCCAGCCCTGCACACCCCAGGCGCCAGGCTGCCACACACACTCCAACCACTCAGACTCCTCTGAGACTCCTGCTCTTCCCCCATCTCTGCACCTGATCCCTCTGCTTGGGATGCCCTTCCACCCCGTGAAGACTTCCCTGACCTCCAACCAGACACAGCAACCTCCTCCCCTTTGATCCCACAGTCTCCACCACGTCTCCTCTGATTTGACCCCAAATGACTCCCTTTGCAGTGCTCTGGTTGAGACACCAGGCTGGGGTGACTGGTGCTGGGGGGGTGGAGAGAGCACAGCTGGGATTGATGATGAGCCAAAAGTGGTAGAGGGGTCCAGAGGCCATGAGGCAATGTCTAGTCCCAGCTCTCCTTGGAATGGCTATGAGACCATGAGGTCCGAGTAGTTCGTGCCCTGAGGTGACATATGCACCTCTTGGTGTCTTGGATGTGGCATCTCGGGAGGTGACAGCCTGGATGAAAGCCACTGGTCGTGCACTCAGCCTCGGGAAAAGGAAGGAGAAATAGGCTTCTATGCATCCTGGTTGCACAGTCCAGGAATTGCCCCAGTGGCCTCTCAGTCACTCAGGGCCTGTACATCATGGAACTTTATAGCCGTTGGGAGGAGGTTCATCCTAACGCATCAGACCACTCAGGGCTCTCCTGGCTCCCTCATCTTCCTTGTGCACTTTGGGGTCCCCAAAGAGCCAAACCGGGGGAGAAGTGGGTATCAATGTTAGTCCTTAAACTGTGGCATGAGCCCTGACTAGTCATGCAGTCCTCTGGGTCAGATCCAGCACACCCAGAGTCCCTTCCCTATTTTTTGAAGGGGACATTCTGCCTTGGCCAATACTAGACACTCCTCTCACTTGGAATCAGCCAGAGCCCACGCACCTTCCACAGGTCCTCTGATGCAAGTCAAAAGTCTGGATCCAGAGGGACTCCTATTCCTTCTCTGCGCCACAGCACAGGGTCCCGGCTTCCCAGGTTCTAGGAGTGAGCCCTGTCCCTGTCTGAGGTCCTGCGAGTGGGTATCCACCCCGTGAGGAGGGAGGCTGACTCGGATCCTTAGAACCCAGGGCTGCCCTCTCTGCTGAGGAGGAAGGGGAGGGCTCTCCCCAGCTCACCTTTCTCATAATGTCTCATCCCATTACCAAGGTAATCAGAAGATTCCAGATCAGAAATGAAAAAACAGAAGCTTTTTCACATCAGGTCTTCAGAGATGACCCAGTGTGGTCAAGGAGCTTGACTCTCTAAGGCTGCTGAGGGCTCTGGGAGGCCCTCCACGGATTAGTAGATGCTAGAGCCCCGCACCCTCCCACTCCAGAATCCCTCCCTCCCCTGGAACAAGACCCACCTTAGTCCCCTCTCTCTCTTCCCTCTCCAGCTCCCTGTCCAAAGTCCTGGAGACTAAAGAGCCAGTGACAACCCTGGTTGAGGCACCGACCCCTCAGGCCTGCTCACCCCTGAGATGATCTTTGTCAGGATGGTCAGCTTGTCGGAAATGGAGGACTATGCAGACAGTGTGGTCATCCTCTCAGTGAGCATCATATCCATCCTCAGCTTCTGTCTCTGTGGGAAAGCCACTGTCCCTCCCTGTGCCCAGAGTCCCCAGTCAGCACACCAGGAAGGCCAGGACTTGGCAGTCACAGAACTCAGGCTCCTGCACCTGGCTGCCTGGGGTCCAGGCTCAGCCCTGCCGTGACCACCTGTGTGGTCTTAGGCAATGTTATCCACTCTGTGCCTCAGTTTCCTCATCCATAAAACAGGGACGATAATTACACTGTCTTTTTTAAAGAGTCATTGTGAAGGTCAAGCACAATGTGGTGTGTGCTCAGGACGTGTCAGTACATTGTCACTGTGGGCTCCTGGGTTAATACTTCACAAATAATCATGAGCCAGGATGTACGGAAATCGGGGTGACTCAGCATGAGCTGCCCTCCCTCAGGACGTCAGAATCCTCTAAAATCAAGGCTTTACACAAGATGGTCCCCAAGGACCCTTTGGATCCTTTGTTTGCATTTTTCAGGATCAACCTCAAACAAAAGAGGGGACTTCACGGATGAGCTTAAGAGAAAGACCTTATTACAGAATCTCAAATCCTAGTGCTGGGGGGCTGATCTGGAAGGCTCCCAAGGCCACCCACTGCAGGAGTCTCCCTCCCCACCATGGATAAGTGGACACGCAGGCCTCACGCCCACATGACCCCCACCAGGGAGCAGAGGGAAGCAATCTGATGTAAGACAGCCAACGTGCTCACTGATTAGTTTCTTTGTTCTTGGGCGCATCACTTAACCTGCCTGCGCCTCACTCTGCCATGAAATGAGTCCAGTGAGGGTTCCTGGAGGGCGGTGAGGACGACAGCAGCAATGAGTGTGCGGAGACACCTGTCACGGAGCACGTGCTCATGAACTACCCGAGCGGACAGCCCACACCCTGCAGCGGACCCAGGTGGACTTCCAACTCTGCAAAGCAGCCCAGGGAGGGTGGTGCCCCAGCGTGGTCCTGGCAGCACAGGTGGCTCAACCTGCACTTCTGGCAAGTTGCCTCTCCTCCCTGAGCCACAGTTTTCTTGTGCAAACTTGGGGACAGAAACCCTAACCCGGCTGGACAGCAGAGTATTGGAGTCAGGTGCATAGTCAGGGACACGTGTGCCCATGCCCTGTGGTCATCAAACACCTGCCACAGGGTCTGCCCAGACCCCACAATTCCACTCTACACCTTTCTTTCACATGAAGGATTGGACTCCCAGGAGGCCTGGAGTGGGGGGTCCCAAGCCCCATCCTTTACTAGCTCTGTGACTTTGAGCAAGTCACTTTGCCTCCTTGTCCTCATCAGTAGGATGGGAATTACTCACCCTGCAGGGTTTGCATGGGGACCAAAGGGACAGTGAGTGAGAAAGTGCAAGTTCACCATCAAGTCCTGCACTCCCAGGATGTTTTCCTGAATGAGGTCATGGTCAGGTCTCTTTGCTCTGCAATGGCTCTAGCCCAACTGTCCCCTAACAGACACACGCACACACGCAAGCTTGGGAGCTGTGCCCTGTCTCCTTGCCACAACTCCGCCCACTGCCCCGGCCCTCGCCACATTTGTACTCAGAGGCAGCCTCTCCAGGAAGTCAGCCCCAATGTCACCCCCAGCTGGCACCCTCTGTGATGATCCCCCCACCCAACAGCAGGATGGGAGACAGCTCCCCAACCCACCTGCAGTCTCAGGCTGGGTCATCTGTCAGGCTGGTCCCCAGGGTGGGACCACCTATCTCCTCAGACAAGAGTCATGGAGGCCCGGGCTGCCCCCTCACACTGGGACTCCCCCATTCATCCCTTCTTTCCCGCTTCCCAATGGCGGGACTGCACCTCCCCTCAGGCCAAGGGCCTCCCAAATGTGACAACTTTGTCTGTCCCTCAGACAAGGGCTCCCAAGGACAAGACCCTGCGTTCCCTTCAGCCCACAGGCTCCACAAGACTCTTTTCCTCCTTGGCCCCATGGCAGGACCTGGCACTGGGCTCTGTCTCAGAGGGGCCCACGTGGGTGAGGATAGCGGCCAGCAGGTCCAGAGCCAGGTTCAGAAAACATTTGTCACAAGACGAACTGCACAGCACAGGGTCGGGATGGGTAATTTCTAGTCAATTTCTAGGCATATTGACTAGAATCACTTGGGAGTGATTCCCAAGAGGGGCCTGGGACCTGGTGTCCAGGGAGTTGGAAACTCTGTCCAGGCAC